ATATTTTCATGGAGTAAACTATCATCAAACAAAGATCCCCGAAATAACATGCACATCCTACATAAGACATGAATTGTCAACCATGTAGGATAAGGGTAGCACATATCAAAATCTCATGAGAGATACCCTAGTGGTTAGAACTAAAGCAGCTCATTAACAAATAAATCTAATCTTAAAATACTCATATAAAGGGCCAAAAACCCTAATTAGAAATCAGACCTACAAAATCAAAATTCTCACTCCTAAGAAGCAAGGTGGGTTTTTCCAGCATTATCGAGACCTAAGAACAAGATCTATGCTTCTTTCGGCCATAATCCCAGTGAAGCAAGAACACCATAAAACCAATAGCCCAAAAACACTGTTTTTCACGACTGAAATTAGGAAACCAACAAGCAAACGAATTGAAACGAAGAAACCTTGGGATTTCAGAAGTAGTTGAAGAAATCAAACAAGAATTCGAAAATTTAAAATACACTATGACTTCAATGACCTGGAAAGAAAGCAATACAATCACAACAATCAAACCAATTTCTCATTATAGAAAAGAGTAGTCATTATTCGCATGAATCTCAGCACCTACTCAGTATACTCAAATTATAAATAATGTAGACATAAATGAATAAAGCTTCAGTGCTTCACAAAGCTAATTTCTCATTTGTTCCTAAGTAGCACAGACCTTTTGCCACCATAATGACAAAACAATGCTAGCACACACCAGACAAATTTAGATGGATAAACTGACAATACAAAGGTAGATATAAACAACATTATAGCTTGCAAAAAATTTTGCCAAAAACAAGCAACATACTTATCATAACTAATCTAATAGAAATGTCAATTCCTCTAAAGCATATCTAGTAAGTAAATTTTGACAAGCATAAAAGAGTTAACAATGCCAATATTTATGAGCTTATCAGAATAAACACATGTTTCTTAAAGTTGAATAAAGAGAATCACATCAGAATTACTACACAAAGTGAAAGCATGATGATCAAATAAGGAAACCAGATAATGCAATGACAGATTACTCAAAATAAAAAGCATAGGAAGTACTGATTACATTATATAATCATGCAGTTATAATATTATAAGCAAATTAATAATAGATGATGAGGCACTTAAACTCAATCTCATTAAGACCAAAATTGAGCAGACCCTATTACATATAACCATTATGACAATAACACCCAGTTCAGTAATTACTAATTAGTACCTATGCAACAGCAATAATTCCAACACATATGATCTGCAGATGTGAGTCGAAATAAACATAATAATTAGGGGGAAAAGTCAAAGATAATGCATTTTTAGCTTCAATACAAACAGAGTATATTTCATGGATTCTATAATATTTATTATTAAAGCTCACAGATTAGATTGTGTTTAACAAGATTATAACTTGCAAAAATGGTATCAAGAAACAAGCAAATAACTCATTATAACAATCTAAATATGATAAAATTTTCCTTATAAGCTCAAAATTCGAGAATCAAGTTTCCTGCTTGGTGAACAAAAGTAACTAAAACATCATCTTATTCCCAAAATCTAATTAGTCGCAAGGAATCTAAATATATGAGTGGAGCAAAGTATATTCTATAACATTATCACCACAAGAAACAAGTGACTCTAATTAGTCTCATGCCTTTGCAATGTGTGCAGTAAAGTACACCCTGGCAGAATTGCAATAAAAAGTATTCCCCAATGTTGCTAATCATACACAGCAGAGAAAACACAAGTCATTATTGATGTCCAATATGAGAGGAAAAAAGTAGTGGAGATCGGAGAGTTTGGAAACTAAAGGAACTGCAGAATCGTGTATTATTATCACAAAGTTAGAAAATCTCACATTGAAGATTTTATTGTAGCAATCGGATCTACAGCTGGCAGAAAATCAATTCACACTGCAGCAGTCTTATACTCGCTCTTCTTATATATAACTACTGTGAAGGCAACCTTATATGGAAGTGGAAGAGAATAAAAGGTCTAAAATGGGACCAATAATCACTAAAAAAACGGCAAGCAAAGGATACAATCTTAAAAGAAAACAGCGAATTCCAGCAAGGCGGTGAGGAGGACATTCATTGAGCTCCATGTAGTGACGGAATTCAGGATCATCGGCACACAACTGCTATTATCTTGTCATCTTTCTCACCCTGACACACATAATATGATAAATAATTAAGCTTATTAAATTTTAGAAATTCAATTCCTGGCATTTCAATTCATGGTGGACCCAATAGTTGTAGGATGCTGCAGATTACTAAAGCAAGACAGGTGAAGGAGGGGAAAAGAGAATCACCTGATCAATCATAAGCATGAGTTTGATAGCCCGAGCTTGAAAGAAAGAACCTGGAATTGAAGTATATGCTCCTGAAAATTACAAAAAAAATGACATGAAAAAGGTTATTTTCATCCATGAGTTATTTTATGAAGGCTATCTTACACACATAACATAGAATTAAATTAACAGAGCATATCTGCTACCTGCATCAGTACAAGCACATCCATAGGGGTACAGGATCACTGTCCTCGCAAAGGGTACAGGAGAATGAAACCAGAATAATGTGGGTAAACAACTGATGAGTAAAGAACCCGATCAACCTACAAGTAATGATCAGTATTATGTGGATTAAAATTCACACAGCTTGTACTTGCTCAATGCATAAAAAAGATTAAGGACATGCGCCATAACCATGGGAAATGAGAAAGCAAGAGAAAATGAGTGATAGCGAGCGAATTCAGAAAACAAGAACAGGAGGAAGTGATAAGAAAGACAAATGGGGAAAGAGCTAAGATGGCAAGCACGTAAAATGAATCATGCAAGGGCAGGGCCGTGTTAAAGGTGGTTGGATTGAATACAAATATCCAAAAATCAGCACATAAACCAAAATCTCATCCAAGAAATCACATCAACAATCGTAAATTAGCACCGACAATGCTCAAACAGTCACCAAAAATTAACACCCAAAACCCACATTTCTGATTTAAAAATAAAATAAAACCCTAATTCCCAAACTCAACACAAAAATCCAACCCAAAATTCACATTTAAAACCATAATATAGCACCAACAAAGCTCATATCATCAAAGAAAAGAAAAAAATAACACCCAATATCCCAATTTCAACAGATCGTCAAGATCCAACATAATGCATAAAAAAACACTAAATCAAGCTAAAAACATTAAAATTAAAAAAAATAAATTAAAGATGATCATACCTCAGAGAAGAAGAGATCAAATTCTCTACCTGTTTCTCTAATCTCTGACTGAAAATCACGCAGAATTGAGAACAAACGGGAAAGCAAGTCGAATGACACATAACCCTAAAGAGAATGAGTGATTGCAAAAAGTGAAAGAAAATGAGTGATAGCGAGCAAAAGCAGGAAAAGAAGGACAGAAGAAAGTCATGGGAAAGTCGAAGTGGAAAATTCGCAAAATAGATCAACGATCAAGGGCATAAGAGGAATTTCGTGGAATTACTGTTCACAAGCAATGCCTATGATCTCAAAAGTCGGATTTCAAGGTCGATTTATAAAGCTGAGACGATGGTTCCTACGTTTAGAGTGCCTATAAATACGCCCCTAAATCCGACTTTTTGACCAATTTTGGCTCATTTTGTGACTTGTGTGCTTGTGAGAGAAAGTGTCTCTCTTTCAATTCTCTCTCAAAACACATTCAAAACACTATCAAAATCAATCAAATACATTCAAATTCAATAGATCTAAGCATTCAAAGAATCAAAGGCATTTGTTCAAGGAATTGTTCGACCACGCGCGTTGGAATAATCTGTGGCCACAAACTTCATAGCGATTTCTTGTCCCTTTCTCTTTATTTATATCAAGTTTATAATTACTCCTTATCACCATTAATCATGTAATATGGAATAATCAACTATTTGACATCAATTAACTTGTAAATAACCTGTTTCTTTTCATTTCTTATTTCAATATTATCAATACTAACTTTCTTCATTGTCTTTGTATCATCAAAATATAGACAACAGAGATAACCTAAACAATTTGAACATATTATTGAACTAACTTGATTCTCTCTAAACAAAAAATTGATTAGAAGGTATAACAATGAGTGATAAGTAACAAGCAACTAAACACAAATTAAAGAAGAAGAGTACCTCTGAAATGAAAAATAAAGAGACTATATTGGATACATTACATTACATATTTGAACCAAATGCAGTCACCATTGCTATTGCATATGCTTCTCCAAGGTGTCCCCTTTCTTGCTCTTCATCTAACAACCTCGATTTCCTACCGAGTATATAACTTGATCAACCTAATAAACATACATAGATTGAAGACAAAAATGTTTTGGGAATTTGGACAAGCTTATTGTTAAAAAAAAAAAAAAAAAAAAAAAAGCAAAGGAGGAAATGTCTCATCAACAATAGAATACGCAGGGGTCCTCTCGTCATCTGACTTGAAACTACACACACAAGAAAACTAAGGGAAGAGAAACACACTTATTAATCCGATCCAAAATAAAAACTTTAGAAATAAAACCAGAAATTAACAGAAACTGAAGATAAAGAAGTTTTATGGAAGGACATAATTAAGATAAATAACAAGTTGACGATATAATTAAGAAGTTTAATGTTGGAGAGCATGATGATGATCAGATCACAATACTTGAATTGAGCAGGTGAGTGAGGCCCTTGGTAAATTCTGTAATGTCCTTTGGAGTTCCACCTTATCTACAATTGGAAAATGTGGATAAAGGCCCTCGAATTGAGATATGAGCAATTCCTCCAAAACTAATGCATGTTTCAGCAGAAACTGGATCAAACCAATTTCTCGTTCATTCCCATAGAAATTCTTAATCACGATTCTTCTGAGATGAAACTTGCAGCACGGAGGAACGATTGCTAGACCTCTCTTGCAAAACTGTTGTTCCAAATGCACCCTCTGCTCTGCAGCACGTTCTATAAGTAACTGCAAAGTACGTGACAGTAATGATAATATTGTTACACCATTGCCTAAGTACATCAGATCACATAAGAGTAGGAATTAATAGATCAGAGTAAAAAGCACAGAATCACCTCTGGAAAAACAAGCGTTTCTAAGACGGGGGAACAGATAAGAAATGCTTCCAGCACCCTTTCCCAACAGTTGTATCCTCTATTACCCAGCTCTAAATATTTCAGATTGCGAAACATGGGCAGTTGATCCTTCAACCCATCAACGTTGAAAGGCTGCAGCCAAATATTTTATATTAACAAGCTAATTAAGCAGTCAATTAGTTTATTTACCAATAGAATAAGAAATTGACACCAACCAACCTTTAAGCACGACCCGAGCAATTTCAAATTGTCAACATTGGTCAAGCACCTCATGATGCCTAGTATTTGTTGACGGCAATCCTGATATGAATGTGCACTCCTTATCAAGTCACAAATATTAATGCTTGCTTGAATCAAACGATCCATGTTTGTAATAGATTGCTGTACTGCTAAATTAGAATTGTAATGAAGATACTCCAAATTAGGAGTATCAAGACACAAAAAGTCAGTGTTATCACACTCAACAGTATATATTTTTAACAAAAAAATCCGAAGAGAAGGTGAAGAGATAATAATAGATTGGACATGGTCCAGCAATGCTTCCACCATGAGGTCTTCAAGTAAGGGGCAAGAAGAAACCAGGCTTGACACAAAGCTACCATCCCCATATATATGAGACACGCGGAGGTGGAGCAGTTTCAATAGTGGAAGATGAAAAGTGGTGGAAACTCGATCAACAGGGAGATTGACATCAAGCTTCAACACCTCCAATGTTTGACAAGTGAATATCTCTGGGGGCAACGGATGACCGTCATCTGGTTCTCTCACGTGAATGCAAAGGTCGAGCTCCTTAAGGCCACAACAGGTTAAGGGGAGAGAGATCCACGAACAAATGAGCACGGGTTTTACATCAGGTAAACAATGCTTCGTACACCTATAAATATATCTGCGGAGCATGTCTGAACCCACTCCAAGACTAAACCTGGTGAGATATTGAGATCGGTGTGCTTGGAGAACATTATTGACAAAGGTCACAAAAGAGGGAAACTTGTGGATTTTATTGGGAAAATGCACACAGTGAGATATAGGTGAATCGTCTATGTCGAGGGTGGTGATCAAACACAAGACGCGCATCAGTTTCTTAGACAAGACACAAGTAGCAGCAACATCCTTAGTCGGAAGCAAAGACATTATCCGAATCAACACTTCATCAGGTATATTGCTCAACCTATCAACTACTCGTAGTAGCCTTTTACTATCAGTATTGTCATGTAAGATACTAGTAGTACACGGATTTAACGGCATATCCATATCCGAATCCGAATTTATACTAGGGTTTAGGGCAGTGAATTCCAGAAATATTGAACTCAATCCCTGAAAACAACAAAAGATAGTATCTTTTATCAAGCTTTATTCTAATTATTAATTAATAAATAACACAAATATAACAACCAGACCATCAATTTTTGGGCACAACACGAATTTGAATTGAAATTGATCATGGAAATTGAATTCATATAACAGCCAAGCCAAGCCAGCAACATGAATGAAATCGATTATTAATCTTTTCTCTTTTTTTGAAAGCAAAATCGATTATTAATCTAATATCGCCAACATCCTACGATTGATTGATTCATAATAATTCTAATGATTAATTAATGCATTATACGATTAATATATACATATGTATATAACAACATGACCATGAATTTGAATATGAATTTCAAGCAGGCCCGTCCCTGAGGCAGGGCAGGAGGGAAAGAGCTCTGAATTCATAGTTTTATTCATTAGCAACCAAATTTTATTCATAATTATAGGCCATAGGGATATTTGATTCAATTATCGATCTCATAATTTTAGAGATATTTGATATGATGATAACAAATACAAACAACTTACCTCAGAAGCTGCTTCAATGGGGGATACAAGAACTAGTTTCAACGGAGAACGCCAACTTCGCTTCAATGGAGAACGTTGAGTGCGCTTCAATGGATATCTCACTAATCTGAGAGAGAGCAATACTACGGAACCCTTATGACTACGGGTGTCAATTCAGATCGGGTCTGATATGGTCGGGTCGAGTTGAGTAAATTTTTAAACTTAAATCATACTCCCTCCGTTTTTAAATACTTACTCCACTTTCCTTTTTCGGCCGCTTTTAAATATTTGTTCTATTTTCTCATTTAGTAAGCTTTTACAATATTTAATTTATTTCTCTCACCTAGTCACCCAACAAATATTATATTTTATTAATATCACATTCTCTCTCCTCCACTACTTTTGCTTTTACAATTTTTTATTCTTCTACCAACCCCACTACCTCCATATTTTATTACTTTCTCCAATTTCTCCTAAAACTCCGCGCATGGAGAAATGGAAAGTATTTAAAAACGGAGGGAGTACTAAATTGCTATGTCCACGCGAGTCCAAATTTGAATCGGATATTTTTCGGATCGATTGAGTCGGGTGTGCTTTTTGACACCTCTAGTTATGACCTGTCAGGGCTCTCACAGTTATAAAAGGGATAGATACGTCTAATAATAATAAATAAATAGGTTGAGTCTTTATATGATTGTCCAATTATGGGATAGCGGCCATAGCGCATACCTTTTAAGGGTTTAAAGTAAACATGTTTTAAAAAGTACGAAATATGGAGTATTAGTTTAAATTTACACTTTCTTTTCCCAAATACTAGGGTAGCTAACGCGCGCAATGCGCGTGTCATAACTAGTCATATCTGGTATCTCTTTCGGTTTAACCTTACATCACAAATTTAATGATTGACAATATAATCCATAATCCATAACCCTTAAAAGCCAAATTCAAGGTTTAAGGTTGCATTTTTTTTACTTTTGCTTATGAACAGTAAAGTACTGGTTATGCCCTTAATTCATGCCTATTTTTTTTTTGCTCAAAATCCTTATGAATAGTGATTTGGCATTGTAGACACCTAAAAATGTCTCCCCAAAACCAAACCCGATGATGAACACCTTTCACCGCCATTATTGGTCGGGTTGAGTATTTATTCTTGGAGTGCTTAAACCCATATTTCCATTTCATAAACCAACCCAACTTCTTGCCTATTTCCCCAAACCATAACTTATTTTCCACTTTTCGTGCCTTTAAATCCAAAATAATTTTTTTCGTGTCCTTTTAAATCATTCATTTCGTGTCCTTTTTATAAAAACATTTAGTTCAGTTTATTTTGGTCTATAATGTGGGTCAAATGATTGAATAGTTGGATGGGTCCTTAAAAGAGCTTTCCAACGATATATTATAAGCCCAAATCCGAGTTATAACGAATAAGTTACGGCCAAAATATTAAGCCGAGCTCAAAGCGAACCTAAGCCCACCTTACCTACGACCCAATGATCATGTGGAGGGTCCAAATGATTTAATCAATTCCTAAAACAATTAGGATTAATTATAAGCTTCTATAAGTTTCTAAAAGATCTTAATTATCCGTTTTGAAAAGATAAGATTAAAGAGTTTGAAATTGAATAAAACTTTTCTTTTTGAAAATCCTATTTCTATCCGAATTGAAAGACGTTCAAAGATATACAGATATTATTTTTGTGCCTCATAGTTTATCCAAATTTTATATGGTTGGATATCCCTTGAAATTATCTTTCCAATAATATATTATAATATCAATTCCGAGCTATAACGGAAAAGATATGAATAAGATATTAAACTCTATCCAAAAATGACACCGTCTCACTATTTTGGCTATATCTTTTGTTCTACAAAATATTTTATTCTGATTCTAATTGGGTTAGAAAATAGACTTCAAGAGCTTTCCAACGATATCTTATTCTTCTTATTCCGATTTCTGGATCAAAAGATATGATAAAAACAAAAACCGCAAAAACTGTTGTCTATCGCAAAAGTTTTAATCCGATTCGAACTCGATCTTTTCTTGATTCTTCGACTCTTTTTTTTTCCCTATAAATAGAGGTCATATCACCCATTTTCCAATGATCAACAATCTTGATCACAAGTTTATTCTCTTCTCCCTCTTTAGCCTAAACACTAGCCTCCGTATTCTTTCATAACACTTCCCTTAAGCACTTCAAGGAGTCCATACTTGACCCGAGGTTCCGTCCTTAAACCAAAGCGTGAAAAGGTAGAATTAACTGAGGGTTTGAACCAAATAAACTCTACTTTTAATTTAATTTAATTTCTATTTGATTTATATTTTTATTGAAGTTACTAACAGTTTATTCATGATATAGCAATTCAAGGAAACGCGGAATGTGAGTAATTAATCACTTAATTACTCTTATTTTTATTCTTATTGCTAGTATCATGATTAGGGTTATCATTATTATTTTATTTGACTAACAATTTATAGTTAAATTACTTCCAATATTAATGTTTATTCTATTATATTTTTTTTATGATCACCGTATTGCATGTTAAAGGGAATATGTAATTGAAAATCACGCCTAATAAGATAATTTGGACAATCGATTTAGGATCCTTTTTAATCTTGTTATTTAATCAAGTGATCACAATATTTTAGAATTATATGTTGCATTAATATTAAACCAATTTAGCCTAATAATAGTTTGAAGCAAACTGAATATTTTGTTTGTATCCCTTTGAGATCGCAGGAATCACTTTTCACTATAAGAATCGAGTAGAGGCCAATACGGGCGAATGTGACTCCATGACTCACTTCGTACCATCATCCCCGATCCTCCTTTCGTAGTTCCGAACCATATTGAGTTAGTAATCTCATAGATTATGAATGGGGTGTAACCTTCACGAGTCAATCGTTGTTGCCTTCGTTGTCCATTTATCGTGGTTGCCTTTTATGATCCGTAAACAGTTTACAAGTTCCTTAAAAACTTGTTGGCGGCTCCCTACTTTCCTTGTCCCTAATCGTGTCCCTTATCGTATATGTCAATTCCCACTTCCTATGAGTGCCAAGCATATTTACACATGCTTTAACGTAGGCGCACTTCAAACGACGCCTACAATTTGGCGACTCCACTGGGGAGGATTCTTGGTTATTTATCGATTTGAGTGATCGGTATTTAATTAAGATGAGTGGATGAGACTTGAAAGATTCTTGAATTGTATTCCTGCGATTTAATTGGCATTGTCACATATGCATATGATTTTTTTTTAGGTTACCTATTTTGCCACAATAGTACGTGTTCTACGTATGTGGCTAGCCCGGGGGATTTATGCTCTATCAACCCGAAAACGCTCATGGCAATAAGGGTTCATCCGAGTTTTTAAATCCACCCAAACCATGGAGTCGAGTTCGATTTCATCACGAACTCGTGGAGCCGCCCGTTGGCATACACCCTCAAAGGAGGATGCCTTGCTAACGCATCCAAACTCTTAACCATGGTACCCTTTGACACCCAAAGTTTGACCATAGTCGAACATAGAACTTGACTTTAGGTTGCGAACTTCATTGCATCATGCGTGACTATATGCTTATGTGTGAATTTTTTTTATTGACCTTTTTTTAATAATTTTTTTCTCTTATCAAACCCCCTTTTTTTATTATTAGAGTCGAGCCATAGATTTTTTTTTTAATTTTTGAGTCACCCGGTTTTTTATTCTCGTATACTGCATAAGAGTTAACTTGTTTTGTTCATACCCGGAGTTCTAGAACGAGTTACGTGTCGTGCCACCTATGGATCCGTAGCCCCGAGTTTTATCTTTGATTTAGAGTTGGTTTCTCCCAAATCGGAGTCACAGATCAAAAGTTATAATCGATATACTACAACCTCTTCAGTTTAGGTGACTTTTTAGCGTCAACTTTCTTTCTTTCTTTTTTTTATTTATTTATTTATTCTTGTCAAGCTAGTCTTAGTCAAGTCCTTTAATCCGTGTCAACTCATATAATATAGGATTATAGATTTTTATTTTTATTTATTTATTTTTTATACCCATGAGTCATAACTCTTCTAGAATTCTAGTCATCTTCCTAGTTTCTTGTGATCAATTTTTGTGCTAACATTAATATGTGTTCTTTGTCTTTGATTGTGGTTGATCTTATTTATGACTAACGATTGCCAAGGGACCATTTTCATCTAGTAAATAGCATAAACATTTAAATTGGACAAAAGTAAATAGTAGGTAATATGGGATTGCCTTAAATACATTGTAGTAATTCTGTTGTAAAATATGTGCTCTTATGTAAATTATGCCCTTGTGTTTTCAAACAGTGAGTTACATGGTTGGATGGATTGTCGGACAAGGATCCTTTGGAGTAGTGTTTCGGGTAAACTTGGCAATAACTAATTTAAAGCTTTCATCTTTTGTTTGCAAAAGCAAATAAGCAACATTATTTTAGACTTGAAGCCACCCTATATAACATTACTAATTTACTAATGTTGGGATGTCTAGGCAAGGTGCTTGGAATTGGGTGAAATTGTGGCTATAAAGAAAGTCCTTCAGGATGAGATACGGTGAGTTGCAAATAATGTGCCTTTTGGGTCATCCAAATGTTACCTCTTTGAAGCATTGTTTCTTTTCCACAACTGGGAAAGATGAGCTCTATTTTACTCTGGTGCTTGAGTTTGTCCCTGAAACTGTTCACCGTGTCATCAGACACTACAACAAGAATTCCATTGATATATGTAAAGCTGAGTTTAATCATTTTATGAACTTCAATCATTTTTTATAATGTTTAATCAATCTCAAATGCCATCTCTCTAGGTCGGATAAGCTTTCTGGAAGAATATCGAACTATTAAAGCTTGTGAAAAGATTTGCGACATTACTCACTCTTATCTTGGTCCTAATGGTATCCCTCTGTTTTTAAAACTGATTTATGATGGAGTTTTTGTTTATTTGCTGAAATTTGATATTTTTGCTGTTTTATTGACTGTTTTCCCAATTATTTTAATTTTGTATATGAACAGATTCACAGGGAAGATGGAGAACTTGAATTGAAACTGAAGTGATAAGTAAAGTGACATTTTCTGCTCTTTAGGACCTTTTAAACAGCAGCATCAAGCGAGTTTCACGCTTCTCCAAGACCTTTAGTTATGAAGGAAATCAAGAAGATAAGCTAATAGTCGGTAATCTGGATCTTCAAGTCATTGGACGCAAAGCTTGAGTTAATGGTGTCCTTGGCAGGTTCTGATTTTTTGAAAAAACTGTCTTCTAGGATTTTTTTAATTGCTTTTTAAATTAAATAGATACGGGGTAACTTCTCTTCCAATTAATTCATGTTTTTTTCGCGGATTATCGTATTTTTCACTGATTAAGCTCTTTCTCCTTCCCCTGCACACTGAACACTGATTAAAACCAGACTTTGAAGATTCTAAATTGCCATGGCACGAGCACGATATTGAAGATTCTAGAACTTGTTCTTCAAACTGAGAAATTCTTCAGTAAGCTCATCAAGAAAGAGGTATTTTCTGATCTACTGGTTCTTTTTAATTCGAATTCTATCAGCTTTAATTTTTATTGTTAGTAGTGTTGTTTTGCTTGAATTGATTAGAAAAATGTATGGGCTGATTTGGCTAATCATTTCTCTCACCTCGCTTTCTCTCTCTACAAATGGGTGTTTTTAGGTAAACTGGTGTTTTTCTTTTAAGGAACAGTTTTTATTGCTTAATTATTGTATTAATTGAGCAAGTTTTAGTTAGTCAAGTCGGGAAAGCTGGCTTATTTTAACAATTTATCAGACAATTATTTCATGAATTGTTAGGAGAATTATTGTGGGTTTTAATGTTTACATTTATGTAAGTTGATGATTTGTGGGTTTGACATTTAATCGAAATTTTGGTGATAAAACCAACAAAGCAGCGATGATGAAGTCGGGGTCTCAGTCTTTGAGCTATTGAGGTTTTTGTGTTTATTATGAGCTAACTAAAGTACTTATTATTATTGTGAATTACGATCATGTATAAATTAGATCCAACCACCAAAAGGTATCATAGCTTGTGTTATGCTATGCTTAGGATGAAATGAAATAATTGGTTACTTTTTCATGACTTGGACTCAATTAATTGATTACAAGGAAACAATAGTTTATGAATTTTTAAGAATTTGAATGCTTAAAAATCTTGGATGAACAGTTAGTTCAATGATAACTTGTGTCAGTTCATGATATATCCCTGTTTTGTTATATGTTATTGTATCAATTGTATCTTTGTTTGAATGTAGACGGCTAAGTTTTAGAGTTTTATGTGTTGGTCATTAGTTGCTTTCATTGAGGTTGATAGATATTCACTTTTTGTGTGTGGTTTCTGAATCCAAATTTGAGAAGATTACACTTCAAAGACCCAAATCATCATCTAATTTTAATCAAGTTGAAGATTCTGGAACGAGTTATTCAGTATGATTTTCTTTAACTTGATCTATTTTAATCAAATTTTGTTCTGCTTAAATATTGTTAATATAATCTTGTTATTGTTCTTTGATGATTTCTCTCAATTGAATTCTGCTTTTCCAATTTTCTTGGTTGGTTATACCTTCGAAATGACTTATTAATGGCTAATTTAAAGAAAGAAGTGAATGGGTGTTTGATTATTAGTTCATTCAACTTGCATAATGTAGAAATGTTGAATATTTGCTTGTTGTATGTTTTGATTTTCTGCTTAGTATCAGAATCTCGGTGATGTTCTTTGATTATCTTTTGTTAATACGATAATTTTCATGCTCTCCCTGTTCAATTGGTTATGATGATTTATCCATGGGGAGTTAAGAGAAAGAAGTAGGTGGGCAATATGTTTATTAAATTGGTGGTGAGAGGGCGAGTAGAGTGAGAATTTGACCAAGCAAAAGATGAGTTTAATCATTTTATAAATTTCTATTTTTTATACTGTTTAATCAATCTCAAATGCCATCTCTCTAGGCCGGATAAGCTTTTTGGAAGATTATTGAACTATTGAAGCTTGTGAAAAGCTTTGCGACATTACTCACTCTTATCTTGGTCCTAATGGTATCCCTCTGGTTTTTTTTTAACTGATTTATGATGGAGTTTTTGTTTATTTGCTGAAATTTGATATTTTTGCTGTTTTATTGACTGTTTTTTCCGATTATTTTAACTTTGTATATAAACAGATTAAGGGAAGATGGAGAACTTGAATTGAAACTTAAGTGACAAGTAAAGTGACATTTTCCGCTCTTTAAGACCTTTTAAACAGCAGCATCAAGTGAGTTTCACGCTCCTCCAAGGCCTTTAGTTTCCGGTATCTTTCTTATTTATGTTTAATCCATTACACATGTTTAGTTTGGTGAATTTGAATTTTGGGTTTTGTTTATTTGTGCAATTAGATTGAATCGTGTTTATGGATGTGTATTGTTGGATTTCTGTTTAGAGTAGCTTAAAAAATTGAAGTTAGTTGGGTAATTAGATCCAAATAATGTGAACTATTTCGAAAAGCAGAAATTATTCATCTCCCATATTTTCAATTGCTATTTTCCCCCAATTTTTAGAAATATTTGAAAACCCTAATTCTTCTATTTTCATTTGATTGACAGAATTTGTAGCGGTTGAGTTTATAAATTTGATCATCATATCGCAGAGTTTCAAGCTTCAACATTTTCTTGGTAATTCCTACATGTCTCTTACCGTTAATTTGATCAATTTATAGTAAGTTGTTCTTTGTTCCTTTGATTTTCAGTATTGTATGTTTGATTTTTATTTTCTAGGTTTTTTCCTGATTAAATATTAGGCTCCAGAAAAGGATACTAAGGATATGCCTTCATTAAAACAGACTAAATCTCGGGTCAGAAAGAAGAAGAATTAAAGGTCACTTTTTTAATTATTCATCTCCCATATTTTCAATTCAATAACATGTATTGGTAGGATTCTTTTGGAATGTTTTAGACATTGCAGGCTTAGGACTATGTTATTGAAAGCTGGGGTTTATGACCCGACTCGGCTATAGTGATGATCTTTATAGTAAGATTATGCCTGTGTTGAATTGGAAGTTTTTAGGGAAACTAAAGCTGGGGCATGGTTTTTGTATGATGTAGTTTAAAGAGCTAGCTCATGCATATGAGGTCCTTAGTGATCCTGAAAAACGGGAGATCTATGACCAATATGGTGAGGATGCACTTAAGGAAGGAATGGGTGGAGGTGGCAGCATGCACGATCCATTCGACATCTTCCGGTCCTTTTTTGGAGGAAGTCCATTTGGTAAGTAGCCTATAGCAATCAATTGAATAGTTTGGTTTTATGTCATGCCTCATGCTTGTTTCCTTTTTTTGAGGGGGTTGCTAATCCTATACAGTACAATGTAGCAATTATTGATCATGTAATTCATATAGTTTTCTATAACCCTCATAAAAGCCAAATTTGGGTGAGGAATTTTTGCTTTTAGGAATTTCCTTATGAATAGTGTTCGGTCTCTGTAGGGAATAATTTCAAGCCTTTAAATCCCACTAGCTCGAACCCCACTGTGATCATACACTAAAGTACGGTGGCGTCCAAAAGGGAAGAAGATAGAGCAAAAGAGTCGCCACACAAGTTTTTAAGGAACTTGTAAACCGTTCACGAGGTGAAGGTTACACCCCTTAACGATCCAAGAAATCGTCAACTCCATAAGGTCTTGAACCAAATAAGGGTTCGGGGATGATGGTGCAAATCCAACCTAAAATAGATTGAATCTGCCCTAATAATAGGCCTCTACTTTATTCTGCTTGTATTCATGTGCGCTTTCTGATTAACATGCAATCAATAGGATTAACCCTAAACCTGTTTAATCTATGTTGGTTGAATTTAATGCACAAACAAACTATTATTGGCGATCACTTGAATTATAATCATATTAACCCTAAACAAGATTTTTAATTATCTTATTAAGCATGATTACAAGTACCAATTCCCTTTAAAATGCATAAAAGGTGATCAAGCAATAAAGAATAAAAATCAAGCAACAATGATAATAAATAATCATGAACAATAATTATAATCATCATAAAATTATAACAATTATAATCATAATCATATTCATGTTAATATTAAAGCATAATAGGAATAGCAAGATCCTAGGCATGATACTAACAAGATTAATAACAAACCCTAGCATGTCACTAAGCAATAAAAATCATATCTTTAACCCTAACATGATACTAACATGAATTAATATTAGGAAGAACATAGGAAGCATCACAGGAATCATATTTAATATTAAAAATACCTTAGGCATGATACTAGGAATATCATAACAACAATGTAAACATGATTTCTACATCATAATATCAATAAATCAATTAAAGCACTTACTTTGATGCCTCGTACCTCTTTCTAATAACAAAATACACACGTTAGTAACTTCAAGGAAAATAATAAACAAACAATTAAATTAAATAATCGAAAGAGAGATTTGGGACCAAACCCTCAGAAATTAAAACCTTTCACGTCTAGGGCGAAGGCAACTTCGAATATGGCTAGGTGTTTCTAGATCTTGTGAATGCGGAATTTTGTATGAAAAAGTAAGAAAGAATTGAAGAAATTAAAGAACGCTAAAGAATTAATGTTTGTGGAGAATTGGTGAATGAAAGATGATGATCGTAGATGAATGATTGTAAATGGATGAAAGCTTGCGAATGAAGAGAATTGGTGAAATTTGGTTATCGAAAACGAAGTTTTTGATACGATATTTATAGAGAAAATCAGCCAAAAAAGATAATTTAACAAAACAGAGTCTGACGATCGCAAAACGAGGTTGGCGCCAACCCTGGCTAGCTGGCGCCAGGTACCATTGGCTAGCGCCAGGCGCCAATGGCTAGCGTCTGGCGCCAAGGCCTGGGTTTGGACGCCAAACTGAATTTCAACGCGTTTTCGAAAAACTGATAAATTTACCGTACTGGAAGATAAAATAATATAATTTCTTCGAAAATGCTATTTGATCTTGATTAAAACTCTGAAAAGTCAACAAAGTCAACTTATCAATGCTAATTGAATTAGGAATGAAAAGAACCTTCTAGAAGATTCTAGAAGACTAAAACCATTCCTAATGGCATTAGGAATGATAAATCATATTAGGCCCTCCTTAGATCATTGGACCGCATATAAAACTCAAATTGGGCCCAGTTTAGTAAATTGGCCATAAATTCCTCAATATTCATCGGAATTGGGCTTATAATACATCGTTGGAAAGGTCTTTGCAAGCCCTGTTTGGGGTAAAAATACCCTAAACACGTGGCCCAATGGCCTAGTGACACGTGGCATCCAGCCGTTGGTCAGCAGGGCTCCAATCCTCTGCTGACACGTGTCCTCTAAACCCTAAAAGGGGAACCATCTCTTCCCCACTATAAATAGTGGAAGGACCCTCATTAATGGGGGGGAACGTTTGTTGATCACATTGAATACTCCTCAAAAGAAACACACTTACCCCGAGCAATATTAATTGCGGAATTCTCCCATTACGCGAGAAGTAACTTCCACATTACGTGCATTCTACCTCCCGTATCTTTACTAATTTGATCGTCGGAGGCGGAGCTCCTACCCCCAGGAGTCTTCGTGATTTTGCAGGCACAGGCGTCGAAGGGCATTCTTGGAATCGTAACTCTCCCGCAGGACACATCAAAAAACCCCGAAACATTTGGCGCCGTCTGTGGGGAGAGTACTTCTAAGATGACTTCTGATACTGTGTCACCGAATTAGGGCAAACGGCCTTTGGTCGAGCCTGAGGTCCAGACGGACCATGAAAGTGGCGACGAAATTGAAACATATGTGGCCCCGGATGGGTCCTTCAGAACGAAGCACCCTCGTGCTAAAGATAGAAGAGAACGGGAAATCAGCCAAGCTGCTCCCAACAACCCAGCCGGGCAACCGGCTGGAATTGCCCAAACGGTGGAGGGCTCAGCCCCCGTTACAAGAAACGAACTCATGTCTTTCATGAATAGTTTCAAGGATGAGATCAAGAGCCTCATCCGGTCAGCTACTCCAAAGAAGGGTCAGCCGGCCAAGAAGCCTTCTGGAAAGAAGGCGGTCAAAGAACGAGTTCCTACCCCTCATCCCAAGCCAAAGGAGGGGGAGGGCTTAAGGTTTGATCCAAGCAGACTCCGTTTTCCTCAAGGGGAGCTGCGAAAGGCCATCCGGCACGTACAGCCGGATGGCTCCAAGAAAACATTCTCAGACGCCCGCACATTTCTCCAAGAGAAGCGAGGTCAGGCGTCTGCGTCGGCCTCAACGTCGACCTTCCCGGACAGTTTCCATGACGTCTCACACAGGCGTACGGGAACGAACCTTAGGAGCCAGACGGGCGAAGCTTCTGCCCGGTCTGGACCCAAAGTGATCCAACCTGGCCTATTCGGCGCACCGAATGGGTTGGGTGGATCCCCTTTCATGTCACCGGGTCTTTTCGGTGGGCAAGCGCAGCAGCCGTTCCAACCCACGGACTGGCAGCTGCGCCTGCTAAATTTGGGGGAACAGCCAACGGCGTTCTCACCAGAGATAACCCAGGCGGCACAGCCGCCTAAGATCAAGAATGTTTTGGTGGGGGTCTATGATGGCACCACCAACCCAGAAGACCATCTAATGGCCTACTCTAACCTCATGTACCTCCAGGGGTTAGATGATGCCGTCTGGTGTCGATGCTTCCCGGCTACCCTCAAGGGCATAGCCCAGTGGTGGTTTGGTAACCTACCAGCCGGTTGCATCAACAGCTTTCGAACTTTGGCGTACTTGTTTACGTCAAATTTCTCAATGAATATTCCTGCCAAAAAGACTAGCCTCGACCTAGGGGCAATACAGCAGGGCGACCGGGAGGGCCTCCGGTCGTACGTCAGACGGTTCAATCTGATGAGAATTCAGATTCCAGGACTATCAGACGAAGTGGCCTATACAGACTTCTTTCGAGGTCTGAAGGATGGGTCGACCTTTAAGTTTGACCTCGTCCGGAAGAGGGTTGCCACCCTCCAAGAGGCGTTAATTGAAGCTGAAGCCTATATACAAGCGACGGAGCTTTGTGCTGTCAAGCAGCCGTCAGATTATAAAAAGTCTGACAAAAAAGAGAGCCGGCAACAGCATCAGCCGGCAAGAAAGGAAGAAAAGAGAAAAGGGGTCTGGGCAGCTGACCGATCAGGACAGCCGGCCCAGAAGATCAGGCGGAAGTCAGAACCATATGTCCCCAAATACGAGTTCACAAAAGATTGCTCCACCATCCTCCTGGAAATCAAAGACCGGATGTCTCTCGACAAACCGGCTGAAATGAAAAGCCCCGTGAATAAACGGGACAAGAGCAAGTATTGCCAATACCACGAGGATGTTGGCCACGACACCAATGGCTGCTATAGCCTCAGGCGGCTATTGGACCGTCTGGCAGATGAGGGGGCCCTAAAATCCTATCTACCCAAGGCTAAGGGTAATACCCAGGCCAAGAAAGGGCAGGCGGCAAAAACCGGCCCAGTAAACTCCGAGACGGATGAAGAGACAATCTTCACCATAGCAGGCGGTTTTGCCGGAGGGGGTCCCACCATCCGGGGTGTTGAGTCCCTTAGGTTTTGATTGATAGTTTTGAATGATGACAAACAACTAAGGGAAACAGGTCTTTGAAAGTGTTCAATACAGTTGGGGGAACCAACTAAAATAGAACACTGTTTTCCTAGATAAGTTATTGATTATATGAGTTATCTATTGAACTAACTTATCTATATACAGGAAACAGTTAGATGATAAATGTGCTATGTACTGGTGGGGAACCAGTATGAACCGTTTCCTTGACTGCTATGCGGAAAAGCAGTCACATACTCTTTATTGTGCATTAACCATGTTACATGTGCAGTAGTTGAGTTGATTCCAAGACTTGGAGCATAGAAGCCTTTCGAAGATATTTCGAAGAAAGATTGTTTGCTCATAATAGAAGTATTCAAGGAAGATTCAAGTCTTGAAGATTACATGAAGAAAAGACGATTTATGCTTTAAAATGTTATCTAGGTTTTCATGTAATATGCTCCGTAGTATACTTGCATGTTTGGGTTATATAAGTGCTTAAAAGTATATTGAAGTATGATATGAAATCTGGTACAAAGTTGGAACAGGTTTCATAACATGTTTCAATTCAGGGAACCAGGTTGGGGAACCAGGTTCACTGTACGAAATATTCGAGCTGCCGTTTTGGAAAAAGATTTTACAAAAAGATTTTTTCGAAAAGATTATTTTGAAAATATTTTGTGCAGCTGGAAATAAGA